TAGAAGCAACTGTTATTCTCACATGGACTGGAATAGAAACAGTAAAACTCTCCTACATGCTCTTTTCAGCTCTGCCTGATTCCTTTTTGAGGAGACTAAAGAAAAGAAAATAGTCTTTCTGTAACTCTGTGGTCTTCTTTATTTCCAGTCTCTCCCTACAGTAACACTGAAATTACTCCAGAATGCACGTGACTGTGGCCTGCAAGCAGTAGCTGTGCACTACCTCTGCTAGCAGCCTTCCACACCCAGGCAGAAAAATCCATTTATTTTCCTGACTGTGCTCCAAGTGTCAGACATAATCCCTTGCCTCTCACCATCACTTTTGGATCACACTGCTGCAGTTCTTGTTGCTACTCTGGACTAAAACTATTGTAATGTTCACATTTTTTATACTCTCAACATGGCAGGCAAATAAAATGTTATTTTATAAATTAAGTGTTTCAGACAATTTTACTTTTTTGAGCACTTCTCTGGAGTATTATGCTAATCCACTGATTTTGGTCACATCACATGAAGAAATTTTTATGTGTTAAAACACTGGGATTTCTTATACAAAATTACATTTGGTAGGTTGTTCATGCAAACCTGAGTTGTTATTGAAAAATTTAACTAGGACTACACTGATAAAATCAAGTCCATAAAATGAAGACAATTTCAAAACCTAAGGAAGAGCCACCTAAAAAACCCAAGTAATTTTCCATTTCTTATCTACATTAATTTTATTGAAAGCCAATCAGCTAGCTGTTATAAGCATATCACAGTATTTCCTTTATTGTTTTTAGGAAAATTTAAATAATTTAACAATATCTTCTCTGTTTAGAGCTATGTGTATTTAAACTTTAGATGTTTTCATAGGCTTCCCTGTACAGAAATTAGTGAGTTAGGACATGTTCAGGTTGTAGTATGGTATGAAGTACTGCATTCCTCTTTTACCTATAACTAGCCTCAGATGATTTCATCATTCCTTCAGCTTTGGAACCAAACTGAGAACATACTTGTGTCACAACCAACAAAGAAAAGCTGCTCCCATTCCCTCTTACATACTTGTTTGTTTGTTTGTTTGTGTTTGTACTGCAAAGTGGAAAACCAAGAAGAGTTATTTACAAAGCTCCTTTTTTATTTTGTGAACAGGAGCTCTGAGTTTCAGTATTGAAAAAAAGGGAACTGGTAATATATAAAATTACTTAATGTGATTTTAAAAACATTTAACAGCTTTAGTTTTATTTACTCACCCCAAATGTTCAAAAGTTTGTCTCATTTATCAATTTGATGATTTTTTTTCTCAGTACTGGCGAATCCTGTTGGGTGCAGAAAGCCATTATGCACTGAATTCCCTGAGAATGGATTTCAGACAATGTATTGACTGACTTTGCATAGCATAGAACAAATTCTGAAAATTGTTGGTAATGTTCCAATCAACATATCTGTAATTTGATTATTATTTACTTCATAATGTGGACTAACTGTGACCAACAGAACACTGCAGCATAGTTTCTTTCAGCTACTTTTCTCAGATTGAACATATTTTATTAACACTCTCTGCCTTGTATTTACTATCAATGCATACTCAGGATTTGATTTGAACCCCTAAATGACTCCATAAATATGGGCCTTAGCTGCTTGATAAACAGTCTTACTCCCGTTAAGATTCAGGAAGCTCAGCTAACTCAATGTATCTGAGCACTCATTTTTATAAGAAGGAGATGTCCATGACAATGGATGCTCCCAGTACGCTTTAAGAGGTCTGTACACTTTTACAGTAGCTCCCCTTTTATACTGTGATAAGTTTCCATTAGGAATTGCCATGGGAACATTTTTTTTCTACTTCTAATTTGGCCATATTCTGAATACAACAGACATTTCCTAGTATCATGGGAAGGAGATAGATAGATACAGTGAAGGCAAACAGAAATATCTCCAGAAAAATGAAATTCACTCATTCATATTTCATGTTACCCTTCTCTAAAATTAGGCAGCTAATTTAAGTAGAAGATGAAGTTTTACTGAATTCCATAAATTCGATATTAGTCAATTAGTCAAACCAGAAAGGCTCAGAAAGACACTGAAAATACTTCCAATAGCCATAAAATATACCACATGCCATTAAAAAAAAATACAGTATCTGGAAAATTCTTTTGGGCTGAGAAGTACTTGATGGGTTTTCTGGTAGGTATTCTTGAGGTTTTTTGGCTTTTAATTCTAGAATGTTCATCCTTCACCATTATATTGTAATTTCACCTATTACTAAATAAAATAAACAAAATATCAGAAGACATTTACATTCCATTGTCTCCTATTTCAGCTAAGTGAATATACTCTGGAACTCAAGACACCATACAAGATTTTTTATGTAGCTACATCAGAGATTTGGAATCAAGTTTTACATTCTGACAATATCAGAAATAAAAATAAACTTAAATTATAAGGAGAAGGCGCCCATGCCACCTCCAGCAAAAGATCTTCAAAGAATAAGCATCAGGACAAATTTCCTAGGATGTATATATATCATGGATGTATATAAATGATGAAGACTAATATGAAACCTTCCGTTATTAAAGAAAGAGTAAGTGTAAAAATATTTAATAGTTCTATGACTACAACAGAGTGAAAGGGAAATCGTCCCTCATGTGAAAACGATCCACATATTTTATTGGATCTACAATTTCAGCACGTCTTAAATGCTTAAGTAAAGCATATGCAATTCTGATGCTGTTAAGTCAACTATTTGGCTGAGTTTTATCCAGTCATCTCTCCAGCTGACTACTAACATGAATTACATCTGCACAAATCAGATCAGCCACACAAGCAGAAAGTCTGAATGCAATTGCCTTCTTCACTTTGCCTATAGGCTCTTGTGTTTGCACAATTCAATCAGCTTTCTCCAGATCTTGCTCCTCTTCCTGCAGCAGCGTCTGCAGAGCACACTGCTGTCTGCACAGCGCAGGCAAACTACCAGTACATGCTCATGTTATGTTATCCTAGGATTTAGTAAAAGAGAACCCCTGGCATGACTTCCTGCATAAAAAAAAGGATATAAAATAGCTATTAGATAACATCACACCAGTCTAACATGGCTCTTTTTGCAAAATGCAAGGATATGAAGGATGAAAAGGTATCAAATAGAGAAGCTTGTTAAAGCTGGTTACAACAAAATCCATTGAGCGTGCACTGTAGGCAGGCTAGTCAATTGCTCTTCATGTTAGCAATATCTGGGGAATTGTTGTGACAGAGCAATTAAAAGTTCTAATTCTGGATATGGGAATAGCAATTGTGATGCTTCCAGGGTCAAAGTGACCACTGGTATTTTTGAGCTTGTTCATTTGGATCTCCCAGGAGGTCTCATCCAAATGAAGCATTTTTCCCTGTCTCACAATTAATAAGCCAGCAAATGGAAAAGATACATGCAAATTCAATGACTTTAGCACAATCGTAAACTATTACAGCAAAATATGTATCCAGTCACATGGCACCTTAAAGAAATCATTATCGTCTTTCAGTACTCTGAGAACGGGCCTCATTCAGTAATAGCTTACTAACATTGAAGGTTCTGGCCCTCATTAAGAATTTCTTAATAGGTATGTGAAATAGATATATGAAATTCCAGATCTCAATTATATGGCCAGAGACAGGCAACAATTAAAAAAAAGATACATATATCATTCATAATGTTATTTGAAGTGCCATGCAAAGGAACTAAAATTACATGCAGTCTGGGAGACTTAATGTACGTACTGAGAATTTATTCCAAGGTCTCATTGATGTAAAAAATATGAAGGGGGAACACATCGTGTCCTCCTGAAGCCACTGTCATCGGGTAGAGCAGCTCTTACAGGTGCAGCAGTTGCCTCTCCATTGCACAGGAAAACTTCAATGCTGGTCGGCAGCATCACTGCATTTGATCTTTGCAGAGCTTTAAAAATGTTGCTAGGTCAGATTTATGTACACCATAATAGCAAGAATACTTGCTATCTAAGAGAATTTCCACAATATTCCACAATCTTGCCCCTCTTCTCAGCTCTGGTGAGGCCTCATCTGGAGTGCCACGTCCAGTTCTAGGCTTCACAGAATGAGAGTCATGGAGCTCCTGGAGCAGATCCAGCAAAGGGCTACAAAGATGATTGAGGGACTGGATCATTCTTATGGAGAAAGGCTGAGGGACCTGGGCCTGTTCAGCCTCAAAAAAAGACAACTGAGAGGGGACCTCATCAATATTCATCAGTATCTGAAAGGAGGGTAACAACAGGATGGATCCAGGCTCTGCTCAGGGATGGTGAGCAATAGGACAAGAGGCAGTGGGCACAGACTGAAACACAGGAAGTTCCACTCGAACATCAGTAAGCACTGCAAAGGTGACGGAGCACTGGAACAGGAGCCCAGAGAGGTTGTGGAGTCTCCCTCACTGGAGAGACTCAAAAGCCGCCAGGACACCATCCTAATGTGCTCTACGGGGTCCTGCTGGAGCCAGGGTGTTAAACTAGACGACCCCACCAGTGGTCCTTCCCAGCCTTACCCAACAAGTAATTCAGTGATTTAAAAGTATGACTGGATCAATGCTTTAACAAATACTAAAACGGAGTTAGTAATGGCACAGCCGATGCCTTAATTAAATTTTAGAGGCAGACCTTTTTCACCAAAGGGTAATACAGAATTCAACGGGCATCAAGTGTACACTTTAACATGCACTGCAGAAATTATTGTTTCTATTAAATTCGCCTGTGTTGCTGAGGCTGCAAACGGTGAACACCGTGCTAGGAACCGCTGGAAGAGAAACGCCCGACCACACTCAAAAGCCTGAGACAAAGAGGGTTCGGGAGGAGATCAGGTAACTTCAGCACAAGGAGCACCTGGGGGAAAGGAGAGCGGGGGACACGACACGGGTGTCTCGGGCTCCCACAGAAGGGAGCGGGCGGTCGCGGACAGCCGCGCGGGCGGGGCAGAGGAGGCGCTTGGGCCGCTCTCCGCACGGCCGCGCTGGGGCCTGGGCGGGCCCGCACCCGCCTCCCGCGGCGGAGGCCGAGGGCGGGCCGGGGCGGCGGCGCGGGAGGGCAAAGGGGCAGCGGCAGAGCGCTCCGGGCCGCCATGGTGCTGGTGGTGGTGATGGGCGTCAGCGGCTCAGGGAAGTAGGTAGCGGGTGGGGGGCAGGCGGGGGCGGAGCAGCGGCGGCGCTGCGGCTCTGCCGGGGGCTCGGCGCTGCCGGAGCCCTCGGTGCCGATCCGAGTGCGGATCCGGGTGCTTAATCGGCCCTTTGTGCTTCCCCGCAGGACCACGGTTGGGTCGCGGCTGGCAGAGAAGGTAGGAGCGTGTGGGAGCCGCCGCCTCGGAGGCGTGCCGGGGCGGGCAGACACCTCCGTGCGCCGGCCTTCCCCCGGGCTGCTGGTCCCCCGAGCCGGGTTTGGCTGGTGCGGTGCTGCCTGCACGGACTTCGGCTCAGTGCCCTGCTGCTGCCAAGCTGCCTTAGTGGTTTTTGTTGTTTGGTTGGGGTTTTGTTGTTGTTGTTGTTATTTTGTCTTTGTTATAGCATGCTAATCGTCATGCTATAAACGGTGATTCATACTGTGGTGCAAGAAGCCTGTAATTTCTTAGGTGTCGTCTTTGCAAATTCTGAAGTCCTTGTTGCCTCACCTGGCCTAGCTGAACGATCCATAATTAATTTTTTTTCCCTTAGTTGGGATGGAAATTCTACGATGCAGACGATTATCATCCTCTAGAGAACAAGAAGAAAATGGAAGAAGGGATACCACTAAATGATGAGGTACTTTGAATAAGCTCTGAAAAAACTGTTGTCCACACATTTATCTCTGTAACTTCATGCAGATCTTGTTGAAGTAGTTTATGGTTTACTACGTAGATTAGTCTGACTGTAAACACAGGTCTGTATTTGCTAAGGTGAGTGAGGCTTCTTGTGTCAAAAAAAGATTCTGCATAAAAAAGTAGTTTATGAAATGCTTGTTAGCTCAAAAGCGGTATGCTGCTGGTTCAGGATCTGTGAGAAATCTCCCCCTCTACAGTCCACACACAGAGTTGCAGTTTTGGATTTGAATCATAGCATCTTAGAATATCCTGAGTTGGAAGGGACCCACAAGAACCACAGAATCCATCATGTGGCCCTGCACAGAACAACTCCAAGAATTTGTTACCCTTCTCGCAAATTACTTTCCATAATTTATCACCACTCGTGGTTAACTTGGGAGGTCCCAGATGACTGGAGGTTGGCCAGTGTGGCCCATGTATAGGAAGGGTTGGAAGGAGGAAGTCTGGCCTCAGTATTAGAGAAGGTTATGGAACAGATTGAGTACATCACATGGCATGTGCAGGACAACCACTTCATCAGGCCCAGCCACCAGGGGTTTGGGAACTGTAATTTTACCTCCTTCTATATCCAGATAAACCAGTGGATGAGGGAAATGCTGTGGATATAGTCTGCCTGGACTTTAGGAAAGCCTTTGATGCCATTTCCCAAAGCATCCCTCCTAGACAAACTGGCTTCTCCTGTCTAGGATGAGTGCACTGTTCACTGGTTAAGAAGTGGCTGCATGGTCAGGCCCAGAGGTTGTTAGTGAATGGAGCTACAGGGATCAGCATCACAGCCAGTCCTGGTTAACATCTATTAATGATGTGGAGGGGATTGACTGCATTCAGTAAGTCTGCAGGTGACACCAATTTGGATGGAAGTGTTGATCTGCTGGAGGGCAGAAGTGCTGCAGAGGTGTACAGACAGGCTGGTTCAATGGGCTGAGGCCCATCATGTAAGTTTCACCAAGGTGTAGTACCAGATCCTGCCCTTGGGCCACAACAGCCCCAGGCAGGACTACAGGCTTGGGGCAGAGAGGCTGGAAAGCTGTCCAGCAGAAAAGGGCCTGAGAGTGCTGGTTGGTAGCAGGTGAACATGAGCCAGCACACACTCAGGTGGCCCAGAAGGCCAATGGCATCCTAGCCTCAATTAGCAACAGTGTGGCCAGCAAAACCAGAGCAGTGATTGTCCCCATGTACCTGTACCTCACATTGGTGAGGCCACACCTCGAGTGCTGTGTCCAGTTCTGGGCCCCTTAATTCCAGAAGGACATTTTGGTGCTGGAGTCAGTCCAGAGAAGGGCAAAGGTGCTGGTGAAGGGTCTGGAACACAAGTCCTGTGAGGAGCAGATGTGGGAGGTGGAGGTGTTCTTGCCCCGGAGAAAAGGAGGCTCAGGGGAGAACTTATCAGTCTCTACAATTGGAAAGGAAGTTGGAACCTCACTGGAAAGGAGGTTGTGGTAAGTTGGGAGTCAGTTTCTTCTCCCAGGTAACAAGGAATAGGACAAAGAAAAATGGTTTCAGGTTGTGCTAGGTGAGGTTCAAGTTGAGTATTAGGAAAAATGTCATCACTGAAAGAGTGGCTAAGCATTGAAATTGCTGCTCGGAAAAGTGGTGGAGTCACCATCTCTTGAAGTATTTAAAAAAAACCAAGTAAACACTTGCTTTATGATTTCATTAGCATGGAGTATTCAGTGAAAAGTTGGACTTGATGATACTAAAGGTCTTTTCCAAGCCTAGTGATTCCACAATTCTCAATTGCAGCATGTGCCTGAGACCGCTGACCAAATGCTTTGGAACTCTGTCAGGCTGGTGCTATGACCACTTCCCTGGGGTCAGTTCCAGTACCCAACCACCCTCTGGGGTGGGGCCTTTTTCTAATATCTAACGTAACCCTCCCCTGACACAGCTTCAGGCCATTCCCTCAAGTCCTGTCACTGTCACCACAGAGAAGAGATCAGTCTCTTCTTTTCTGCCTGCCCCTCCTCTTCCTCTCACAAGTTGTAACTGCAGTGAGGTCTGTCCTCAGCCTCCTCTTCTTCAGGCAGAACAGATCAAGTGACCTCAGCCACCCCTCATACACCTTCCCCCTCAAGGCCCCTCAGCATCCTCAAGAGCATCCTCCTTTGGATGCTCTCTAATATATTTTTATTTGTCTTATATTGTGGTGCCCAAAACTGCACAAAGGACACAAGGTAAGGCTGCCCCAGTGCAAAGCAGAGCAAGACAATCCCATCCCTTGATGGGCTGGCAATGCTTGAAGTACTAATAGCATAATGGGACAGCTTGAAAAAAAGGATTTTTCCATTTGCCATCAATTAGGACAGTGGTTCTACAGTTAAAGCCACTTTTTCTGGACAGAATCAGGAAGAATTTAAAAAGTTAATATCCACTACTTCTAGATAAATATACACTTATGACTGTAGATAAAGATTTTTAAACAAAGAATATAAACTAAACAATCCTGGTGAAAATATTAAGTCAATCTAAAAGCATACAGAGCTTAGAAACAGGGCAAGATGCAATAATAGCATATTTTGAAAAAGACTTTAAGAATCTAGCTGTAATAGAAAAATTTTGCAAAGCTCCTATCTTTTTTTTTTTTTTTTTTTAGTCCTTCAAATTTTTTGGAAAATATCCTTAGCCAATTTTAAAAAAAAAAAAAAAAAAAAAAAATTCTAGATTCTGGTTAATAACTTGGATCTTTCACTAGCGGTTGGAAGCCTGTATGTTGTCTGTAGCAGCATTACACACCTGCATGACTAAACCACTACTGTGTGGTGCTCAGCAAAAGGAAAGCATCTCTTCTGAAAAATGAGAGCTGCAAAATTATGAGGGCCTTCTTGAATGCCTAGGGGAAGTTACTGTGTAATGATAGCAACAAAAAATTGTTGCATTTATTTTTCAATGTTATAATTTCTTGTGGTTACCCAGCAATAACAGCATTGAAACATTAAATAGGAGCAGTTTTTTAGTGCTCATTAGGCATGACTAAAGTTTGCATCAGCTTAAAATTGCAGATTAAGTAAGTATCTGATCAGTCACTCGTATTTGCCTAAGTAATGGGCAAAAGTTTTGAGAAATTGTGGTTGTGGTTACATTTATTTGTGAGTGCTACTGACATAAATATAATTATTGCAAATAACTAAATTTAGATCTGTTTTTGAAAGCTTCAGCTTGGATCCAAAATGGAGATGGGGTGTGTGTATGACACTATGTCAGGGAAAAGAAATAATAACTCTAGCTGTATATTTGAATGGTATAATAGAAGCAGGAGGTAAGTTGACTGTCCTTCAGAGATTTACAATGTGCATGCTGCACTTGCATACATATTATTTCCATCATATACCTGTAATATAAAAAGTACTATTCCACTAAAAGCATCCTATTCATAATATGCCTAGCACTTCTTATTAGCCTTCAGGCAGTGGGAGCAAAACTATAGAGGAAGAAAGAGATTCGAAACTGAACTTGCTGTACAGTTTAATGTTAATATTTACCTCTAGTCAAATATCTGAGATGCTAGAAGCAATTGTTTCAAAATAATTTCTGAAAATTTTTTAACTAATTTGTTTTCTTTCTAGGACAGGATTCCTTGGCTTTGTGCATTGCATGATATATTAAGGAGGTAAGAGAATATCTAGTTTTTAAATGTTTTAGCTAAAGACAGAAGTACCAGAAGTGTTTTTCCCCACTTCATTGCAAAGCAGCAATGTAAGTGGTAAAGAAATTCTGCAGGTAGTAAAGTCATTCTATTTTTATTAATCTAAACTGTCATAGTAACTCCTGATGGTGAGCTAATCTCTGATAAATAAAATGGGAAATTGTTGCCAATGACAGCTGTTTTTCTACTATGTGTGTAAAAATAATTGCAAGGATACAGCTTATTAATAAGTCTGACATTAGCTACTTACAAAGAACATAACCACAAAATACACCAATAACAACAGTAGGATAAAATACTGTTATTTTGAATAAGATACAGTGTCAAGTTTGTTTGACACTGTTTCCTTGAGTGTACCCTGCTAATTTGCAGAGGACACCAAAATAGGAGGAGTAACTGATGCAGAGGGACCTTGAAAGGCTGTAGAAACCAATTAGTAGAAACCTTTTAAAAACGCAAAATTCTGCCCCTGGGAAGGACGAACCCCAAGCAGTGTTATGGACACTGAGGGGCACTCAGCTGGAAAGCAGCAGAAAGGGGCCTGAGGGAGCTGTGGTGGACAGCCCCAGGACATATGCCAGCAATGTGCTCTTCTGGCAAGGCAGGCCAGAAGAATTCTGGGTTACATTAGACCAAGTATTGCCAGCAGGTCAAAGGAGATGATCCATCCCATCTCCTTTAACACTGGTGAGGCCACACCTGAACTGTGTGTCAGTTCTGGGCTTCTCATTATGAAAGAGGCACGGACACACTGGAGAGCATCCAGCAATGATGAAGGGACAGGAGTGCATCCCAAACAAGGAAAAGGTTGGGAGGGCAGGGACTGTTTAGCCAGGCTTTACTTGCTTGTGCACATTAGGTGACCATACCTCATTGGAGCTGAGATACCTCATTTCTCACTGAGAAATTTGTCTGGATTGATTTGCTGGATCCATTGCTTCATGTTATGTGAAAGCTTAATGCCACTGCCCAGCTCTGGAAACTTTACAAAATCAACTGTGTTTTGAAAGAACCTAATGCCAATGTTTAATTATTAGTACTTATTAGTTGCTGAGGCTGTCACTGACTTACCTAGGTGATAATGGTAGGTATTAGAAGTTCTTACTTCTCTTTGAACCAAAATCTGATGACCATAGAATGATTTTTAAGTAAGTGTATACCTGATTTTAATTTTATTACAAAATATATTTTCTTAGGCAGGAATTTTATTTACTCTTCATAGAGACAACTAATTCTGGATTTGCTTTTTGATGGAACAGACACACCCAGAGTTAAATGCTTTATTTGAAGAAACCTGGTCAGCAGAAAATACATATGCAGTGCATTCACTGACCTGCAATCCCTTGTTTAAGCTGAAGTGAGTATAGATGCAGTGCTATCAATGAGTTGAAGGAAACACAAAGTACAGTTAAATCTGAGACAGTGACAGCAGATGTTGAAAATATTGTGTATTTAAGAACTGTGATCTGTATTGCTAATCAGCCACTTATCCTTAGAGAGAAAAGTATAGTAATTTTATAGATAAGAGATAGGTGTTTCTATGGATCTTTAGTTCCGGTTCTCAGCAATTAAGGAAATGAGCTTGACACTTCCTTGTGCTAGACTTGAATTTAATTTAGGAAAGAATGGTTGCTTAGAAAAGGCTATAGAAAAGATCCCTAAAACAGAGATTTTACCAGAAGGTTGGCTAGCTTGGCCTCATTTTCAAATCACATCTTTACCTGGACTGGAAATTTGGTTTTAAAATCCTGTTAAAATTACTCAAATACCACTGTCAAAATGCCACTACTCCCATGGCTGGCTACTACTCCTTGAGGAGCTAGGGCATGTCTACCTTGTTCAGCAAAACTAACAAGCCATTTTTGTTATACCACATGTAGATATGTAAAGGTTTTTGGAGTGCTTTTTTTTTTTTTTTTATGTTTGATAGAGAAGACACATCTAGACAAGATACAATTCTGGCCTGTTCTGCACTGAAGAAGTTGTACAGGCGTGTGTTAATTGGTGGAGCATCTGCAATTGAAAGCAACCAGCCAGAGCAACCAGGAGAAAACCCAGCACTGAAGATCCTCTTTGTTCATTTGGATGGACCTAAGGACATTATTGCAGGCCGCCTGAAGAAGCGGAGAGGTCATTTTATGCCACCTGAACTTCTCCAGTCTCAGTTTGATACTCTAGAGCCACCCAGTGCACCAGAAAACTTCATTACTGTCAGTCTAGAAAAATCTCTCCCAGAAATACTGCTACAGATTGAGAGCGCCATTCTTCAGGGTGAGGCTTTGCCAGAGTAATTTTCTGAATGACACATATAGAAATTCCCTGAAGGACAGCAAGACTATGAGACAGGATTTTAATTATTAAATTGATTATTAAATCAAACCAACTTATTTTTAAGAGGTGGTTTACTACTCATTTCTTTATCATGGCTCTGTACAAGACATATAAGATGTCTTTTACATCTTTTGCATACAAGATGCAAGAACTGTTAACTTTTTAAGCCCGTCACTCTATGAAGTTACAGATCTCGTTTCAGTAAGAGCCTGCTTTTGAAAATCCTGGCAAGGGTCACACAGAATAATTTATTTTCTTAATTTTAATATTTACTCTGTCAGACACAGGGTTGGGCACATCTGCTATTACAAGATTAAATAATTTAGAGCTTTGTTAAAAATAACGTCATTTTCCTAGAAGAGACAGGAACATGCATGATAAAGTTCCATACATTACACTACCCCTGTCTCACTGCTGGATTTTCATCAAGTTGTAGGTTCCGTGTTTGTATTCTTGTTGACCTTACCAGAGCACTGATGACTTTATGAAAACTTTCCTGATCTCTTACTGTATGCATTGGCCACCAAGCTGAAAAATGTGAGGAAAAAAAAAGGTAGTGGTGGTGATGCAGTATACAAAATTAAATTGAATTGAAAGCTTTAGAAATAAAGCATAAGTGGCATCATACTGACTCTGAACTTAGAGCTTTCATGTATAAAGCGTGCACATTGCAGTCAAGTGCGAGTCAATCAGTGATTTAAGGTACTGAATGCAAGGTTAATACACATTTCCTTATTTTTGAAAACTTCCTCTTTTGCAGTTGGACCTTCTCCTTCACTTCCCAGTGCTGGTGGGCATGTCAATGCAATTGCTTTAAAGCTTTTGATCAAACTACTCCTAGTATGTATTTTTCTTATCTTTTTTGATGAAGATGAGAAGAAAATTCCAAATACCCAGTCAGTCACCTAGCTCACAGAATTTAAGGTTAAAGTCCTTTTTTACCACCAAGGTGTTTTTCAAAAAGTACTTCATGTTGTGTTATACAAGACATAACTTTTCAGCTTAATGTTATAAAAACTTCAGATAGTTTCTGTAAGAAAGATTTGAGTCTTGTCCAAATGGAGACATCTCCATGTGCTGTCACACATGGGTAATTTTTAGTATGTCATGCTTTTTTTTTTTTTTTTCCTTCTTCCTGGGATGACAGATGAGCTCTTGCAGAAGAACACCTCATGTTTGAAAGCATCTTTAGTACAATTTTTACCTGGGTAAATAGTTGAAAAACATTAGTCACAATTCTCAGTACGCATGAAAATAGTAAAGGCTTTGTGGTTTACTAGACAAATTACTGTGCTTAAATTAGTGCAATAAATGGGCATTATCTTAGTGAAAGCAGCAATTTTTAGAGTTGGGATTTTAGGCATCAATGTACCCAGACATAGTGTTTTCCTGTTCAGTTGTGACCTGAAGGGAGAATACCAGGCAGTTACCAATTTTAGTCTATTACAGGGTGCTCTCATCTCAGAGCCTGTTTGTTCCAAGAGCCAGGGTGCAAGTTGAAGACATGGAGTTAAGTGCAAGAGACAGGGATGTCTGTATGCTTAATACCCTCAAATTTCAGAGACCCCCTTCAGACCAAGTGACATGTCAGATCTGTACAAATTTTGTAGCTATGAAAATCACAGACACAGCACCCTCTTGTGGCACCTCTGCTGTTAAGGAGGTCTTCATCTTTTCCAATACACCATTTTACACACAGTTGACTAATATACCTATTATAAAATACAGATTTGTGCTTACTTCTTTCACACACAATAAAGCCAGACCAGGACACTCTACAGCAGCTGCATCCTGTCACACACAAATATGATCAGACCTTCAAGTAATTTTTTTTTTTAAAGGGACAGTTTTAAGTGTGAGTTCTGAGAAGGCCAGACTGATTTTCAGATCTGCTTGTCCATGTTTACAGAATACACTCAAAGTGACTTCACCACTTTCACCACCACCAAAAAATTGTATTCAACAGTTAAAAATAATTCTCTTTCAGAGAGTTTTATATAAGCAGCTTGGATTTTGGAAGGCTTCTAAACAAAGTTCATACTTACAGGCAGTTCATGCTTCTTCAAATAGGTCAGGGTATTTCTTAGTCTTTGCTTCTATGTTGGGAATATTTCCCTTACCCTTTTAATATATTTGCATTTTGCTTTTACTTAAAAGATACTGCAAAGAAGGTTGCTGTCAACCTAATCAGTTGTCTGTTACCTGCTATTCTGAAAGACAACAAAGCATTATTTCTGTTCAGTTATATTCTGTGCATTACAAATTAATAGATTAAGATGTGAATTATTGCAATACTAACAACAAAAAACTACTCTCAGATTTTAATCAAGCTGTGCACATGTGCATTGGAAGAAAAAGGTAGCAGAATAATCCCTGCCCAAACACAATTCTACAACATTTCATTTACTTGATTTTGGTTTAATTTGGGTGTTTTTTTCTGTTGTGAGGGTATATTTTTTGGTTTTGTTGTTGCTGTTTTTAAACTAACACCACATTTCTAGGGATGTTGTATTCAGGTTAGTTGAGCAGGCTACTAATATTTAGCACAGTTTATCTGGATGCAAGTGCTGTCTGTGTATTTTGAAATGTATTTAGCAAATGCAGCAAAAACTGAGGAGGAAACACCTGGAGTTAGAAATTGCTTTTTCTGTCTCTAAGCACAAATTATCTATGCAAGGTGCATGCACTATACATCCTCATGAATTTATGCTGAGCACAGTTAGTAACATGCTGTGTAAATACTGTACCTACTACAGCATAAACATTTTTCAGTGCTAAAATGAGGAAGTAAAAATTAAATGCAATCTATCCCAAACTGCGCAAGTTATCTATACAGGCAAAGCTGCCTGCCACCTCAACTATAAATTGATATGTGCTTTGGTTTTTTATTAATAATATTTATTTTATTAAGCCAGGTTGTGGTACTGGGGATGGGGTGGCTACAGGGGTGGCTTCTGTGAGAAGCTGCTGGAAACTTCCTCCACCCCCTGCAGAACCAATCCAGCTGGCTCCCAGACACATGGGAATTGCTGGCCAAGGCTGGGCCAGTCAGAAATGGTGGTAACACTCCTGTGATAACAGATTTAAGAAATCTGTGGGGAAAAAACATGATTGCACAGATGTAACTGCAGCCAGAAAAGAACAGGGTGAGAACACGTGAGAGGAACAACTCTGCAGTCACCAAGGTCAGTGCAGAAAGAGAGGGAGGTGTTTTGTGCACCAGAGCTAAGGTTCTGCTGCAGCCCCTGGTATGGCCCATGGTGAGGCAGCTGTGCCCTGCAGCCCGTGGAGGTCCATGGGGATGCAGAGATCCACCTGCAGCTGGTGGAGGAGCCCCAGGCTGGAGCAGGTGTATGCCTGAGAAGAGGCTGCCACCCTGTGAAAAACCTGTGCTGGAGCAGGGTCCTGGCAGGGACCTGCACACCTGTGGAGAGAGAAGCCCATGCTGGAGTAGGTTTCCTGTAGGATGTGACTCTGTGGGGGACCCACACTAGAGCAGCCTGTTCATGAAGGACTGCACCCCAGGAACAGTGATCCACTGCAGCAGTTTGTAGAGAACTGTTGCCCATGAGATGGACCCATGCTGGAGAAGTTCTTGGAGAACTGTCTCCCATGGCAGGGACCCCCTGCTGGAGCAGGGGAATAACTCTCCCTAAGCAGTGGAAGAAAAAAACTTGTGATGAACTGACCATAACCCCTATTCCCTCTCTCCCTGCACTGATGGGGACAGGAGGTAGAGCTAGAAAGGAGGGAGGAATAGGGGGAAGTTGTTTTTTATACTCCCCATTATCCTGCTCTGATTTTGTTACTAATAAATTCAGCTAATATATCTAATTCCAGCCTGTTTTTCCCATGACAGTATTTGATGAGCAATCTCTCCCAGTTCTTATCTCAACCCATGAACCATCTTTTATATTTTCTTGCCCATGTCCAGCTGCAGAGGGGAGGGATACAGTAGCTTTGGCATCCAGTCAGGGTCAACCCAGTATATGCAGTCACTGAACCAGGAAGAAAATTAGGCAGACCACATCCTTTACAAAACCAGCTATTTTGCAGTTGTATTGCCAATACTGAATGCATGCATTCTGAGTCTTTTAAATTATAACTGTCAGTTCAGATCATCATAACTTTTAGATTTCTTTGTTTTGGCATCAGTTACATTTTCTAGCAGGAGTTTGATGATCAGGCAAGGCAGTTTTGCAGACAATCCTGTCAGGTCACTTGATCCACAGCAGAAGAAAAGAAAGCAGGAAAATGAAGAGACAACCTTCAGGCACACATGCCCTTCTGGTCCAAAATGCAAGCTGCAGATTTCAAGCACAAGTTATCTAAGTGCTCATCTGAAAGAAGAGGTAGATGATAACTCTGAAGAGAGAATTTTAAAGAGAGATGGATAAAAGGGCAAGGGGGAGAAGTGGGGAGGGGTGAACAAAGAGAAACATTGTAACATAATCTTAAACCAGTAAGTGTGGGTTTTCTTTCACCTTTAAAGATCAAATAAAAAGTGTATCCTATCTATAAAGCGTGTTCTGCTTGCTATATTTTCAAATAAAACTAAAACTTCTATTAAAAAACAGCTCAGTGTTTTTACCACAAGAAAGCTAGTTTAGTTGACAACAGTTACTGATAAATATTGATTCTACTTCAAGAAGTAAGCGTAGCTAAAGGCTCAGTATAGAATTTAGGTCAAACTTACATCTCCTGCTGAATTACAATGAAATTTTACTTCAAATGTATTGTCTCTTAGTTTGCAACATGCAACTGAAATGCTTAAAAAGGGTGAGCTGAATGATGTCTTGAGGAAGTATTTGTGCTAGTTAGATTCATTGATTTAGTGTCTTGGTAAAAACTGTTCTCTTCCCCATATCACACTTGCCCTTCCATCTGACAGACTTATTGGATATCACGGACTGCATTCTTAGAAAGATCTGCCTATTGAATGATGAGGGAGTCTGAATGTTTTTTTTTTAATTCAAGGTCCCAGTAAGGCACACTTAAGTTGAATTAGTTCTTTGGAGATCCTAATAATCAATGTGAAAATAACTGTAAAAAAGTAGAGATTATTCTAAAGAAACTACTTGCTCTCTATCCTTCCTTATCAAAGGGTCCCGTAACCTCCCTCTGCCTGAAGGTCAGAATGAAATGATGAACAGAGGCAAGTACTTGCTTGGGACAACAGGCCAAGATGCCTCCTTGCCTTTCTCACCCTCCCTTAAGGTGTCTCTCTGTACAACAGTTACAGGTAAGGAAGGTCATGCAATGGATGATGAGGATGAAGGTCCCTCTCCAGGGAAGGGCCAGACAGGCCTACATCTCATAACAAGATCAGTTCAATAAGAAAGAAAATAATGGTTGTAGTGGTAGATGGTTCCCTTCTAAGGGAAGGTCCAATATGCTTGGAAGGATATTGCCCTCAAGGAAGTTTGCTGCACCCCTGGGGTCAAGGTTAAGGAAGTCGCCAGGAAATTTCCCAGCCTGGTATGGTGCTCAGACTACTAACCCCAGCTGATCCTCCATGAGAATGGTGATGAAGTCACAACATGTAGTCAGTCCAAAGGCCATCAAGAGACTTCAGAGCCTTGGGGCAACTGACGAGGGAATCGAGGGAATCAGGGGCACAGGTTATTTTTTCCTCCATTATTCAATGTGCAGATAGTGATTGAAAAAAAACCAAATGGATTGAGTCTATTAACATGAGGCTCTGAGGCTCATGTCACTGCCAAAATTTAGGGTTGTTTGACAGTGGGCTAGCTAAGATAGCACCATTCTTGCTGGTATCAGATGGGATCAGAAGCATAACCTCTCTCAAAAGGAAAAGAGGGCCTTCGGTAAAGGATTAGCAGTCATTGATACAGCTTTAAACAATTTATGATTGGGAGGAAGGAGGTATCATCCTATTAAATAGTGGATGACTTGCCATCCTATTTATATCAGTTAGGTGCCAGAGCCAGCAAGAGACACCCAGAATCTGGAGAGGGATTGCAGGTCAGCAGGAGAAAACCTGGAGGGCAGCACAAAGGGATTCTGGCCACTCCAGAGAGAAGGTAATTTTCTCCGGGATCCAACTTAAATGCATCTATCCTAACACATCCAGCATAGGGAATAAAGTAGAGACATATGCATGCCTGCAAGTCTCCGATCTTACTGACATCATGGAAATATGGTGGCAACTCCTATGACTGGATTGTTGGAATGGAAGGATACAGTCCCTTCAGGAAGGACAGGCAGGGTAGATGAGTAAGAGGTGTCAACCTCTCTGTCAGTGACCACCTGGAGTGCATGGAGCTCCACCTGGAATGGACAAGGAGCTAACTTAGAGCTTTTGGGTGAGGATTAAAGGGAGGGCAAGCACAGGTAGCTTTATAGTACAGGCCTACTACAGGCCACCTTACCAGGAAGACCAATGATGCCTTTCACAGGCAGAGAAGAAAAGCCTCACATTCACAAGCCCTGATCCTCATGGGGGATTCCAACCACCACAACAGGAAAGTGTTGATTGGCTTGAGAGGGTCCTGCAGAGGTGGGGCAGTCAGTCCTGTTCTGAGCCAACTTCCTTTTCCTTCCTAAGTTGTTAAGATTGTAAGTCTACTTTGAGACTCACACTTAGTGCACCTGTATCAAGGGTCAGGTTCCAGACACCTCACTAAAAGGGGCTCCAGGACACCACAGTCCATTAATTCCATTTCCTGAAGGGCTCTAAAACAGGGCACTGTACACATGTGAACAATACAGCACAAACGGCACAAAAAAAATCTATTTTACATGAGAGGCATATACCAGGTAAACCATAAAAGGAAGGAGATTGGTCCCCAGCATTCTCCCTGTCCACCCCAGATCCAGACTATCCACAGCAGCAGGACCAATACAGATTCTAAGGACTGACCTTTTTCTTTCTCTCTTTTCCACCTTTTTCTCTCCTGTTTTACCCCAGCAATCATATTCTACCACTTAATCAACACCTGAAGTTTATTGTGAGATTTGGGAGCTAGTCTCAAAGTTTGTTGTAGAAGTTGAAGAGCTTGTTAGCCAACTTCTTACAGCTAAATAGTAGGCTAATTGCTGGAGTTAAGGCTATTGTATAGACATATGGATCTTGTTGAGACAGACAAGAATTTACAAGAAACCTCACACACGCTTCTGGGTTGTGACAGCCTGTTGGAGGCTCAGGACAGTAGAGCACGTGTATTCCAGGAGGTTCATTGATGACAACTGCCCTCTCCAACTGATAAAGGAGCCAAAGAGGAGAGGTGCTAGGCTGAATCTTCTCAGCAATAAGGAGCTGATGGGGAATGTGGAGCCCAAAGGCAGGCTGGGCTGCGGTGACCATGAAACAGTGGAGACTGAGATCCTTAGGGCAATAAGGAGAGTGGGAAGCAAGACAGCTATGCTGGACGTCAGGAGAGGTGAATTTGGCCTCTTGGAGGATCTCTTTGGTAGAATACCATGGGACAGAGCCTTGAGTGTAGAGGGCTGGATGACATTCAAGGATTGTTTCCTTCGAGGCTCAAGACTAATGCGTCCCAACAAAGAAATTAGAGAAGAATGTCAGGATGTATGGATGACCAAGGAGTCCCTGGACAAATTTAAAACACAAACAGGTAGCTTACAGAGCATGGAAAGAGGGAAAGGTAGCTTGGGAGTAATAAAGAGAAACTGTCCAGTCAGGGAGATGAAATTATTGCTGTTGTTGTTATTATTAGTATAATGAGAGAGAGAGAGAGAGAGAGGAGTAAAACCCAAGAGAAACAAATGACACACAGTACAGTGGCTCAGTACCCACTGTCCGATGCCCAGCCTGTTCCTTTCAGTGGCAAATACTCCAGCCACACTGCCCAAGTTCCAGAAGGTAACAGCAGGGAGATGGTTAGGAAAGCTAAAGCACTGACAGAAGTAAGTCTGGCCAAGAACATCAAGGGTAACAAAAATCTTCTTTAGGTACATTAACAGTAAAAGATTAGGGAAAGTGTGGCTCCTTTCAGGAGGGATTTGGAAGACCTGGTTACGTAGGACATAGAGGTACGCGATTTTTTTGCCTCAGTCTTCACCAGCAATTGCTCCAGCCACACTGCCCAAGTCACAGAAGGTGAGAACAGGGATTGGAACAATGAAGAGCTGCACTCTGCATAAGATCAGGTTTGAGAACATCGAAGGAACCTGAAGGTGCACAAGTCCATTAAACTCACACAAAAGAGCAATAAAAAGCAGATTAATTTCAACTTTTGTTCTGCAATCCCCACTTCATCTAACCTAGATGTCTCCAACATCATCCATGTCTTATTCTCCTCTGTCCACCTCACACCACAGGAGTTGTTGACCAGTTTTAATGCAGAACTGGTAAGCATTGCCAGAGCTTGAGTTCACTCAAATGCTCTTAAGATGAACGGTCATCTTGATTTTTAGGTAATGAACAACTGCAAACACACTGAAACAAGATGCTTAAAGATTTTTTTTAATTCATTTATTACCTGTGCACAAGAGAAGTAGCTACCAATAGAAACTCAAAAGCTATACAGTATTTTTTTACTTGGTTGTTGAAAGTAATTAGAGTATCACATGACCATGAATAGAAGTAATTTCTCCAATTACAAATCAGAATACATGTTAAAATCTCAGTGGAACAAGCCAAATAGCCATAGAAGCAATTCCAGAGCACAAGGCTGTGGCTCTTTAATTTGGACAATGACAAAAGTAATTTACAGTTAATCTGTGAATACTGAAATAATATTATAATGCAAGTTTCTGTACAGTTAAATGTAAAGAGACAACCAGAAGAGTAATTCTAACATATTTTAACTGAAGTTGCTTAAGCATTTTTTCTCAGATCCAAAGATCCTGGGCAGTTCTACACCAAATTCAAGTACTATGACTTTTCTTCCTGGGCTTTTTTGTTTTGTTTTGTTTTGTTTTTTTTGGTTTTTTTTTTTTTTTTGGTGGGTGTTTTTTTTTGTTGTGTTCTGGTTTTTTTTTGTTTGTTTGTTTGTTTTGGTTTGGTTTGGTTTAATTTTTTTGTTTTTTGGAGTTTTTTGTGGGTGTTTTTGTTGCTGCTTTGTAGGGGGGTTTTGTCTGTTTTTTCATTGCTTACAATTTCACTCTACTGTATTTTGTACATCTCTAGAAATGAGCTGTCTGTGTTGTATATATTGTGTTTATGCCTTAGACAAATTAAAGTAAAAGATGGTAGATTACTCAAGTGGTATAAATCTTCCAGCATTTTGCTAGTCAAGAAAAAAAAACATGCCAAAATCACAATAAGCAGTATTGGTACCCACAGCTTTAATTAATTTGTTTCCTTTTTAATGTGTAATCTACATACTGAAGGATACTGTTTAAGTAGTAACTAAATTGGCCATTTGTAGGTCACACAAAACTTGTTCATCCAACTGTGAAAGCTGATATTGTTTCCAAAAAAATCACAAATAATGCTGAACAGAAGAACTGATGCACTCAAAAGTAACAATGCATTGATTCCCAATGTCTGAAGAAAGCTACTGCACCCCACCTTCAAATGCATCAGACTGGTTTGAGTTATAACAAGACAATCCCAAGAGTCAGAATGAAATAAAGCAATTTGAAAGATTAAAGGGCTGTTATCAAAAATAAATTACATTTTTTCAAGTTAAAGGAAACACTGCTATGAAGGCTGAGAGCCAAGCAGCCTTTCAATAGCTGCATTGATGTCTCCTCCTGTTGCTATTAGTGCTTGTAAATTTGCTTCACGGTTCAGAAAGCCCATTGCGCTCAGCTGTTCCAGTTGTTGCTGAAATCGAACCTCTGGATTTTGTAACTGCTAAGAACAAAATTTCAAGCTATAAAAGCATAATACAAATTTAGCAAAATACACAATTTAAACACAGGTGGGTTCTGCACCACTCTGTCTTTTCTAATTTTTGACTACACCTTTTTCAACTTCTAAAAGATATATTCAGATAAATTCACTTAGCAACTAAAGAATTTTTTTTAAGTCAGCAACATCAAATTATCTACACTTATATACCATTCCTGAACTCCAGGAAAAAACTGACTGATAGAGGAGGATTCAAATTAAATTGGGTACATATATGTCCCATGAACAGTTTCTTAAAGATATGCATATACCTGTTTTTTTAAAACAAAACAGAGTTCAACCTAGCAATGTGGAACAGCAAAGATTATGTTGTTGTCAGCAATCTTGAACATCATAGGCTTTATTTTTCCCCAACATAATGATCACCTCTTTTGTAACACTCCCAAGTATCGGTTGACTAAAATTACCAAAATCCTGATTGTTGGAAAGTCGACTCTAAGGCAAACTGTTAGTTTTGCTTTATAGGAAGATACTGATTACACAAACTCATGGCAAAATTCTGCACTGTCTTAATGGTATGACCTTCAGAGGCATGTTTTTAATCAGGACAGAGGATGTTTTTTCAGTATTTACTTGCACAGCTGCAATAGCACTTTTAAGCCTCCTCTACTGACCTTTGACCAGAAGCATCCAGTGGGCTCTCCCCTCAACTATCTGTCTTCTTTCCAGTGTTTTACAATTAAGAATAAAAGCAAAAATATTGAGAATATAATGATGTATATTACCTGAGCATTTGCACCAGCAAGTGCCTGCAACATCTGGTGGACAAACTGCTGGTGACCAGGTTCAGCAGTTCCTGAAGGTGGGTTTGTATTTTCAGTAGAAACAGAACTAGGTACAGTGGATGCTGTAGGAGCTCCGCTGCTTCCCACTCCACCCAAGCCAGGATTAAACCTGTATAAATTACAGAAAAAGAAATACACCACTTAAATAATAAACACTAGTTTGTCTCTTCTCATTAATTAATGGATACAATTCTGTCAAAGAGAGGATAACAATTTAAGTAAAGTACTGAGAAAAAGACCAGAGTTATCACTGTTTAGAATTGCACAGCAGACAAATGTGACAAATTCTAAAACAAATTTGGTTAAACTAAAAAAGGCAAGAGGATAAATCTTTAATTAAGACGGTATAAATCTCTAAATCTAAAAAGAGTAACCAACACAAAGGAAGACTTCCTGTCCAAATCTGTAAGATCAATTCTTACCCTGGTATAAGCCCCGGTGCTTCTGTTGCTAATGTCTGCAAGCCCTGCTGAATCTGCAGCAGAGCCTGCATTGCTCTGGGGTTTGACATAGCTGATAACGTGTCAGGATTCTGCATCTAAGAGAAGGAGAGAAACTCTTCATTATATGTAGATGTTCCAAGGTAATTTTTATTGCTAGATGTCTCATAGAATCTGACATAATTTCAGAACTTGACTTTTGATTTTGTAGTTGAATATCACAGGATTTCAGTTATTTTTTCTTCTATGAGAAAACTTCCATAGAAGGTGATCAGTGAACTCTCTAGATGTAGAAAAACCCTCTTGAACAAGAATTATACAAGGAGAAGTATTTTTCATTACAGATCTCAATCTTTCAATGGCCACAAGACTGTGTTAGTACATTATTTTAGAATTAGTCTCCTATATCACACTACTGGTAAGCAACAATGCTGAACATGATGAAACTTGACCAAAAAATACCTAAGAAAAAGTACTAAGTTCCTTTTTCCTAGCTGATTTCAGATTGCAGCAATTTGATTGTGACTATTTGTACATATCTTCTTATCTGTAGCACTCTTACAGCCTGAAATGTAAACAAACATACTGGAAAATATACCAGCAAGCAAATGTATAATATTCAAGGGTTCTCAGTCTACTGTGACTTCAATTACAAACTGGCTTTCACATAATCAAATAATTTAGAAAGCAAATCCTTTTCATTTCTGAAATGAAACATCCAAAAACCTCGTTATTTTAGACACAAACTCAAAACTAGTGGCTTATGCTCACCTTTGCATAGAGATGCAACAGGTAAGCAAAAAGCAATGTTTCAGTTACAAATAACATAGTTATTTGATTACCGACGGTTTCGGTAATCAGACCAAAGAGCAGATAGGCTTACTAATCTTAGCAGCTTTCCCCTGGCAACTAGACCAGATTACTTTTGCTGAAAAACTACATTTGATTAATGTAGAAATCACAGATTAAAGTGAAACTTTCTGTATCACAGAGCAGAACTGCAGAATAGGACATGAAGAACTCTGATCTGAGTGCCTAAAGAGACTTCAGAAGAGCAATTAATATTCTCTATTAATCTCTTGGGACTTTTATCTTCATGATAGCTAAAAGTCAACAAATAAATGTATAGTAGATGGAAAAGATTACTCAAATTTAAAGAGATAAACATTTTGGGGTCTCCAAAGAAAGCTGCTGCAACTACTTCATGAAAATATTTGACTTATTGTCTGGTATTTGAAGCTGTCTTACATAAATGCTGGCCTAACAATTCTTAGAGCACTTAGGTGACCTGGATCTCATTTCTATTAATGTTATTAATTCCTGTAGCAGCCATTCTTCCCTAGTTCTGCTGGGCAATTGCCCTTAATTGCAAAAGATACCTTCCATCATGCAGATTCCACGGTTTCTGTCTCCCAATCCCATAACATAAACACAGGTAGATAAGCAAGAAAACACAAGTTGAAATATTACCAACATTCTGAGAATATCCAGATATTTCTCCACTTCACACTTCACCTGCTAATGCTGTTAATCATTTAATTTCAGACAGTGAATACAACAGGTGGTAATAACAGAAGGAGATACACCAAGGAAACAGATAGGATTCTTACTGAGATGATTCTTAATTATTCCATTCATTAATTACCAATTACTCACAGATTTCAAAATATAAATGTACTAGCTCCTCAGATACTACCGAGTCATTACAAAGCAATGGCAATATGAAACACCACAGCCATTCACAGCTTCAAACAATATAAACAGTATCTTCTGAACACTGAACATGCTACTGTAATTCACGTATGTGCTCATATTATTTTAGTCATAAAATCTCCCGTGTGCAGTCAGATCTTGGCAACACATATTTACACTGATTTGCAAGGACTGCCTAATGACAAAACTCATGCAGTGGATTAGGTTTTCAATGCCTACAGAAAATCTTGCTTCTATTAAGGAAACAAATACTACTATACACTGTGACAACTAATACTAAGCAGATACCTGGGCTGCAAACACAATGCTGGTATGAGCGGAAGACAATGGTGGAGCAATCTTTCCAGGAAAGACTTCAGAACCCACTTGTTTTAAATTAGGTAATGACTTGGGTCTTTCAAGACATGCTCAAGGACCTCTTTTTCAAATATTTAATGCAGGTTTGAAGAGGCAGGAGAAAAGCATACTGAAACTTTAAATATAGTGTGAAAAGTACTATTCTTTTTAATTTCTGAAACAAATCTTGTCGCAAACAGCTATTTTCTGGCTAGTGTGCAGTAAGAGCATTTATTCCTTCTAAGCAAAGAAGCAAGAACAAATCTTAGTGCTTATGCTAGTCACAGACAACAGTCAGGTTTAACTTTTGAAAGAGATGGAGATATTAACAAGAATATTATCAATGGACAATCTAACTCAGTATCTAAAGTTAATGAAAATATATTACAGAATCTAGCTATTAGTCAAATCAAAGACAGGCACCAGTTTACTAAAAATATTGCTCATTGACTTGAAAAGCTTTATTAAGAGCTAGTATCTCATCTTACTTGCTGAAGGAAAGTTGGAAGTTGTTGTCTCATTTGTTCCTGAAGTTGAGGATTTCCAACAAATAAAGGATTATTCAACATCATCTATAGGACAAAAATATTTAACTTCAAAGACCAAGCAGTAAAAAACCACTGGAGGTTTTAAAACAACTACAGATAACACAGTAATAGTATATGAAAATTACCCCACAGAATAATAATAATCTACTCTTTTGGTCAAAACTTTCTGGGGGTGTTTGTCCTTTTTTTTTTTTTTTTTTGGGGGGGGGGGGGGGAATTGGTGTTTTTTTTGTTTCACTTTTGCTTCATTATTTCTTTTTTTCTTGTAAGTGAACGGTTTTCCAGATACAAATAAGGCAATCTTTCCAAGTATTATAAGAAAATTATTTTGTGTTCAGCCTCCACTACAAATCTAAGTAATAGCTTTGCTGTAAATATCACCTGAAGTCAATGATATTTTCAAGTGAGTATTTAACACAGAAGAGGTAATATTTTTTCAATATCAGTTCAGAATTTGAGTTTCAATATTACTACTTTAAATAAAAATTCAAAGCACTTCTACAATACCATTCATAAAACATGAGCATCTCCACTTTTACAGTGAGGTGCAGGTCAAAAATGAGAAGTTAAAACCAGAGTAATATCCAGATAGGGCATCAAGTCCCCTCCCTTCACTTCTCCCATACTACAGGGGGTATTTATTTACCATTAGCTCTACCTTAATTCATAAACAAAGCACTCGCTTTGTCTGTTTCTAATGCTGGATCACAAGTTTAGGGCTATGCAAAATATACCCAACCCCACAATGACTTTTGAAGCATGTCAGGCATGATATCCAACTACAAACTGAATAAACTCAAAGCAATAAACTGTTGAAAGTAAGCAGGTAATAATTTCAGTGACTTAGGAATAAACACTAAAACTGGCAATTGCCACAGGCAATTTTTGAGCTTCCGGGTTTTGTCTTTTTTTACTTTAATACACACAATATATTACTACACCAAACGTAATTTACCTGTACTGCAAGATCAGGATTCTGGCTTAACGATTGCATCATGCTTCTCATGTAGGGTGCAGACAACATATTCTGCATAAGTTGTGGATTTTCTGTTATCTGCTGTAATAAGCTCTGCATTCCTGGTGTATTGAACATACCAGCTTAAAGAAAAGGTAAAGGGCACATTAGTAAGCATTCTGACTATCATCAGAGAAAGTTAGACCATCTAAACCCAGAATATAATGCAGAATATAACTTGGTTTTCATGAGTTTAAGACTGAAACTTACCTCAGTGTGGTTCTACTTACACAGACACATTTACCCTAGAAGTTAAGACAGACATTGTATCCAACACACACTCCCATAAACTATCCACATTATTAGCTGTTTTCCCATTTGCCTTGGAACAGAAAAAATACTACAATTCATCTGCAGATTCATTACTTTTTAAGGCAGTGTACAAGTATTATTATCACTTAGATTATTTTTCATATTTTTTTATTTTTACTATTTTTCTTCAGAGGAATTTAATAATAGTAAAATGTTCTACAAAAGTAAATAACAATAAAAACTGATCAAAAACACTCATCCTAATGAAAGAAACATTTCAGTAAGTTTACAAGTATGTGCAAATATATACAGTTGCAATAACAAACACACCTCCAAGCCCAGGTCCCAAATTCGGTCCAGCTGAGTTCTGTCCCGTTGTGCCTGAAGTGCTGTTTTCAGCATTACTGCTGCCACTGCTCTCACCACTAGTGCCGTTATTTGTTGTGGAAGTCTGTGAGCTAGACTGAGGAGCCCATGGATTTGGCAGAGGATCTCTATTTTCTGTACGAGATGGCTGATTGTCTCCTGCTGATGCGTTGCTTACTAAAGAAGCAAATGGGTTACCTCCAAACTACAAAGGAAAGCAAATACTTATCATCTACAAATTTCTAAATCATACATGAAAATAAATGTTTACGGCTTCTAATCAGTTATACGCACCAGTCTACAGTAATTAAATGTAAATATTGTGAAAAGACACTAACACTGAGAGATACTAGGACCCCCCCCCAAAAATTAAATCATGTTTCTTTTTGAAAGTAGTGTTGCTACTGCATTGTATTTTGATCATAGTAAAATTGTGTCTTGCATACTGGTTTCTGACTTTAAAGTCTTTTATTTTTCTCACCTTCAGTTAAAAGTTACTAAACACACCCTTAAAAGGATTTTGCTGGACCTCCAAATCTTAAGGCAGTGAATTAAAGGAATTAAAAATTAAGTAACAAACAAATCTATTAACTTTAAAATAGCTTCTCAATCACACAAAGTGATAGCTGTATTTCTTCAGGCTCTGAAGAACAGAGGATTTTTAAAGCTCTTTCAAGAGTAAAAGGCTACATAACAACTTCAAGTTTCAAGAATTGTTTTGTCAAGTAAGTAACTGGAAATTTGAATTACTTAAATTTTCTATTTAAAAAGTACTTCCTTCCGTCATTTGCAATCTTTTCTCACCTGCTCCTGTGCTGCATTCAGTATTGGCTCCTGAATGTCTGTGTACATACGCCGCAAGGCATTGTATCCCCCTGGTATACTTTCAAGGTTGCTCAGCGCTCGGTCCTGGTTTCGCATCATTTCCTGCATCATTGCAGGGTTTCTAGCAAGTTCTAGTGTCTAGAGAAGTGGAATGTTTAATCTGTATTAATAAGAAATCCATTCTAAAGTGAAAACGTCAGCATCTGGCAATATCTCAGTTATCCCTGTCTAACCCAGTTTAAAATCATGATTAGAGCTGAACCAACCTGTCAGCTCAGTGTGAATCAACACAATTCAGTATTTACGCAGCATTCTACCATAATTCTTACTATTTCTAACATCAATACAGCAGGCAGCCTATAGTATGAAATTTAAAATAATTATATACAATTTCAAAAGCACCTATTAATCTCTTTGGGTTTGGTACATTTTGCCACACAATGTATCTTATGTATCTTTTAATTTAAAAAGCATTTAGAAGTACCCACAGTGAGACACAATGAAAATATGCAGTATTTTGGAGAATTACTACTTATGGTAAAATTGCTGGCTAGACAACAGGTTTCAAGGGCAGACAGCCACATCCAGTTCTAGCCTCAGAAGACACTTATTCAATGACTTTCAAAAACTATGCTGCAGATTTTCTAAAATAACAGTCTATTTTGGACATTAACAACAAGAAATGTAGACACTGGTTGTCTATGGCAACATTTTATGGATTTCGAGTAAGACTAAATACTTTAAGAATGTTTCCCACTCCACTAAGCATGTCCAATTCCTGCTCTGTTGTTTACATAATAGCAGAATCACAAATCATGAACGAATAGATCTTTCTACATACCTGTCTCATTATATCTGGATTATTCAGCATGTGACTGATTTCTGGATTTCTCTGTATCAGTTGCTGCATTTGAGGGTTAGCCATAATTAACTGCCTCATCAGGTCGGGATTTGAAAGCATGCTCTGAACAAATGGATTCTCCATTATCTGAACCATCATTTCCGGGTTGGACATAAGTTGTCGTTGCATCTGACTTTGCAACTCCGAGAAGTTTGAAGTATTTAAGCCCAAGCTACTCAGGCCTGCCAAACCTCCAAGGCCACCTTTAAGAGGATGAAAAAATGTGACTGACTATACTTCCAATCACATCCAGATTATTTCTAAAAACAAAATACTTGAACATATCTCATACTTCAAAGTAACAAAAACAGGAATGGAAAGTCCTGTCTTTTGCAAGACTATTCAGGAGTTACTCACTAAGGGTATGCTTCCTTAAATAACAAGACACATAGCTAAATCTCCAACAAACTTTATTCTTAAATAAATTTTTTTATAATTCTAACAACTTTTTTTCTCATTTTTCAAAGCCAAGATACAAGAAATGTTTGAGTTTGGGGGTCTTAGGTCCATGTCCTGCTCCCTCCACCAACACTTAACAATTGCGTTTGTAATAATTATTTATCTGCCTCTCTTGGTTACACTATAACTAAGAGTGAACTCCCAATATAAGTAATATTGCCCATTCTAATGAAATGCAGAACCTGTGCTCCTCTTGGTAATAATGCACAAAGAGCTAATTACGTTTTGAATTTTTGTGCTTTGCTGAATCCAGATAAAAACTTTCAGAAGGTACTAGACAGACCAAAGAACCATTAAAACCTAAGAAATTATCTGCCAACTATAATTGGCTTTTCCAATTCTACCTCTTTCCCACTCCCAAATGCAAAAAAAAATGAGAAAAAAGTATGAAACAAAACCCCACCACAACTATGGAAATAGGTTATAATTTTTAAGTCAACAGACTGCAGCCTCTTCATTCATAGAAGTGAGGACTCGTAATACTATCAGACTTGAAACCTGAGAAATACTTAATTGTAAGATTAGCAGCAATTTTGTTGCTTTTATTGCAGATCTTGGCTCCATCTCACTGGTCCAAACTTCTATGATTTATCTATATTCAGATAACAGGAATTCAGATGCACTTATAAATAGTACAAGGACACTGGAAGGCTTTTCATTACCCATAGTGCAAAATATAACATCATTAGCACCTTAACCACTGAAGGTGAAACAGTACAAATCTTGTAGTGAAGTTTATGGTGAAACACTGGCACAGTTCATCCAGGGAGGGGATGGATGCCCCATCTCTGGAAACATTCAGGGTCAGGCTGGATGGGGCTCTGAGCAACTTAATCTGGTTAAAGATGTCCCAGCTAATTGCACAGAGGTTGGACTAGATCACCTTAAAAGGTATCCCTTCCAACCCAAACTATTTCACAATTCTAGATAAAACTAATGAAACAAGTCTCCTGTGGTAACTGACTGATCAGAAACCTTCAACAGTCAATTCAATATATATCTATAATCAATTTTTTAGCTGATGTGTTTGTTTGGGTTTTGTTTTTCAAGTTTTGTCTACATTGTAATAAGCTTTGGGGATAATTATCATAATCCAAGAGAAGATACCCACCATACTACCTAACAAATATTCTTACCCAAGCCAAAGGGATTGCTATTTGTTGACGCTGATGTTGAGGTGCTACTGCTTGATGTTGATGTAGTAGCAGTACTCCCAGTGGTGTTTGCCTGTTGAGCTGGGTAGTCTTGTGATCTAAAAAAGCAATTTTATAATAACTTTATAGAGTGTAACAAGTTATTTTAAGTACTGCCATTAAACGTAGCTATAGTATTATACTTCAGAATCTTTAATTACATTTTCATTCTTGGTGAAAACCCAGGGATAACTCCAGTTATCCCCAGATGGCTTCCTGTAATAAATCTTTCTCAGACACTTGTCATGTCATCAGTTTTTCAGAACAGTAGCTTCTAACAGTAAAAAACCAGATAGGTATCACTGCAGCCATTACCACCTTCTCATCCTACACCATGATGCTTGCCAATGAATTGTTTTCTCTGTCCTTACTTTGCTTTAAGGATCCACGTGTTATTTCACTATACTCACGTAGTACTGATAACATGCCCAGAACTTCAAGAATAAAGCCTGACAAATTTAATGTGTAATTAATTTCATGCCACATCTCTAATATGATGCATATTGAATATGAAATTCAGTTAATATCATAATTTATTAGAAAGCTCAAACTCTCAAACCTTAAAGACTTCAAAAAAAGGCTGATAATGAAATCACATGAAGCTAAAACCTGTGCATAATTTAGCACAGGCACTAAAGGCTGCTCAGGCTGTGTACTCACTATACCCTTCTACTGCACACAGAAAGACAAATGTTGCCATGAAGTAAAAAAGATCAAGGAACTGAGCTTGAATAAAGTTAACCTGACCCCTCTGTTCTAAAGAAAAGAGACTACTTTGCAATACAAATCAATTCTCCACTGTGGTTCAACAAGCAATAAATGCCTATATTTGCAGTACTACAGAATAAAATACTTTTTAAAACCATGAATTCAGATGTCACAAAAATATTTGAGAATTTGACAGTACACTAAACTCCATACTTAGTTCACCTTGGAGGACCTTTCTCCTATAACATAACTCTGCACTTGCTCCACTCAAGCAAACACCAGAAAAAAAAATCCCCAACCATACAAAAAAAAATTCAGAAATATGCTTTAAAAGCAGAGATTCTCCTTAGGTTTCTAAGAGTTCTTTAAGTTCATTATCAGCAACTGCAAACTTTGAACACAAGATGACTATAACTGGCAAGCAGCTGTAACTTGAATGAGAAAGATTACAGACTGTATACTGATTGTGATTCTCCTGCTAGAGATATTGAGTTTTCTTTCATCTAGAAAACACACACATCTTTCCTCCATAAGCAAAAGAAAAATAATAAGCATCAAATTCTATTTGTATTTTCAACTGAGAAACTATTTTGAGAAGCAACTATGCTGCTTCATGTAATAGACATGAAAGTTTCTCAAAAGTGTGACAGAAAAGTAGATGATTGAAAGCTGAAGTTCAATAGTGCTCCTATGCAAACTGGGACATATTCTCTGAAAATAATGGTTCATGTGAGTGTCAAGCCTGTGAGCCTCCAGTCTTTAGGGGATACTCCTGTCAAGTGCACATCACCTATTATACCCATTTTGCCATTATGTTTCCTCCCAGCACTTGTGAACAAATGATACCTGTTGACCTAAAACTCTATTCAGAAATTCCATGTATCTTCGCTGCCCTGGGCTAATACCTCACTGCTACTTTGACACTGTAGAAGATAGGTTACAAGATTGCACTGAAAGTCTGTAGCAGTCTGTAGCACAGTAAAAAAAAAATAATCTTTTTTTTTAACATGCATTTGGCTGGGATATATGAGGATTCCTGTTTTGAAATGACACATCTAATATAGCTTAGAAGGGAAAAGATTACTTTCAGATCCAGTTTTGGAAAATAACTTTTACTTTTTCAGATACACAGTAGCAACAGTAAGAGCAAGAGTCAACAGAAAAGTGAATAGCATAGCATAAAATAGCTGGGAACAAATCAATCTTGATGGCCAAAAATCAGCATGTTCCAGACCACACTGGCAGGGTCTAAATCTTGTCTTTCAAGACAAGCATAAAATATAGATATTTTAGCAAGAATACAACCGAGATATTTCAGGACAATGCTGATTCTCTCCAGCAGGTTTTAGCATGTTTTTAGTTCATTCAAGCAAAGCTAGTAGGTGAAAACTTCAATGCATCATTTGAACACAGCACATGTACATGCAAAGGAACTGTAGTCCTTAGTTCATATTTCATTTTCCCAGACACAATTAAAACATTCTGCAGATAATAGAAATACATTCTTCTAAAATGATTCAAAAAAAAGCAGGCTCAAATGAAGACATGGAGTGCACTGCTGATAAGACAGATGCAGGAACACTGAAAATTCCCCAAAAGCCACACATTTGACATTTGTGTTCCTGAGGGTTCCTCTGCTCAGAGGCAAAGTGCAAGAAGATCCAAGAGGCTGGCAGGGGTATTTCAGTACGTATAGCTATAGTAGGTCTAAACTATAAACCCTCTGTGCAAGTCAAAAGCATCCTCCTAGTAGTACTCATGGTGCCTCTGTATCACACTTAATACTGTAATTGCAAAAAAAGCTACAAAAAAAAAATAGCAACAGCAGAATATTCATTCAGATGCAAAAGGACCAGAACTACAGTATTACCTAACACCATATTCAAGACTGGCATGGCTTGTATCAGCCTAAATTTCAGGTGGAGGAGGCATAGGGCTCTGATAGGACAAACATGTATTTTGATTCCAGGACAGTGAACATAATCCTTCCAGGACATGAATGCAGAACTGAAGGTATCAATTTCAAAAGGTACCTACATTTAATGCTAATGATACTAATTTCAACAAGAATATGTATTTGCTAATGTTACTAGCCAGCCTTTGTGTCTTGGTAAGGCCCTGAAAGAGAAAGCCTACTTCTGTTCTCTCCTACACTTCATGCTCTTTTTTTCAACATTTTCACATCAGAGGGGATCCTCACCATAAACAGAAAAGACTTAAGTAGAACAGGAGCAAAACCACTTTCACTCTAAAAGAATGAACATGTTATTGACTAATATTAAACTGCTTCTGAGGGATCTATTGCTGTACTTGAAAAGGTTTTTGGGCACTGTACAGGAAGTGCACACACCATAGCTAACTGATACAGCTTTCTTACCATCATTCTAATGCTTCACCAAAAGGAAAAACCAAAACCAAAAAACAAACAAAACAAAACACCAAAACCAAAACAAAACAGACAAAAAAAAAACCTACCAAAAAAAAATCCCAAAACTCCTTAAAATCAAGTCTATTTAGACAGATAAATTCGTTACACTAAAGCAGTTCCCAAAAATTTTCTTTCCTTGTTTTACCAAAACAGTCTTTACTCACTGTGTTGGTAAAACAAGGAAAGAAAATTCACTGCAAAGAAAAAAAAGAAAGAAAAGATTCACTGCAAGTTTTCATAAGTGAAAAGAAAATCTGCATAACATATATTAATGGAAAGTAAGAGATGATATCTAACAACTGTAAAGCCAAAACACAGCTGGAACAACAACAACAACAAAAAGCTATATAACAAAAACTAACCAACCAACCCAAGAAAAAAACCCAAAAAAAACCCCAAAAGTAAAAGAAAAGTATTTAAAAACATAAACCAAATTAAATTATGAGATAAATTTAAAAAAAAAAACTGTAATTTCATAATTTCACTGTTGTCCTGCAGCAGCTGTAACTAAGGAGCTGATTAAGGTGATTTAGTCAAATCTAGTTTTGCCCAACAGAAAGCTAGTAATAATGCAGAGTACTTTAACTTCTTTAGAGGTAAACAGAAGATCACTTGTTATTAAGATTACCTGTTTTGTGTTTTGATAACCAGGTGAACAGTGAGTCCATCATGAATTCCATGCTGAGTCAAAGTATCTTGATCTTTTAAAATTTTTCCAGCAAATATCAACACAAGCTGATCAGTGTGGGACTTGAAACGCTTAGAGATTTCTTCCTTGAACTAAACAAAAAAAAAAATATTATACATTTATATAATTAAATACTGAACTGCAATTTTTTAAAATAATTTAAGAACAACCTGGTTTTTACATTTGCTATATTATCTCACTTGTACTGCATATTCTGTATTTCACAAACTAGAAATACTTTTGTTTCCTGAACTCCTTTCTGTCATTCAGAAAGGAAATCTGAAGAATTTCACATCTAGATCATTAGTTACATAAGTCGTGACAACAAAAATCTGATTTCTCTTGAAGACTACTGTGACTTCAATCAGACATGCATCCATGATATAAATACCTACTAGTATATACAGTACTTAAACACACCCATATACATATACACATAGACACACCTGTATACACATGGTAAAGTATGCATATAATTATATACTAGCAAGTACACACATACAAATGTGCACACCACTGAAGCCATCCACTGCTGAAGGACACAATGCCATAAAGAGGATAAATCTGTCTAGACTTTTGCTTGAACTGAGTATACCCTCCTTAGATGTATTTTTGCTGCCTTCCTTCCATGTGTCAAAAACTAGCATTCCTTTCCACACAGACAGAAGTTATATTTTAGGTGGCTCTGCTTTCCCATTCAATGCATGACACAGCTACATGAAATGAAGTTACAGCCCAGGGCACAGTGAATAAACACATTTTTCATTTAATTGAGAAATCACTACCATACAAGACCTTTTACAAAAGAGACTGCTTGCTAAGTGTTAACCGTCAAAAACACCTTAAATAACAGATTCATACACTTTATTTTTTTTTTCCTGAGGCAGAGGAAGAAAATCATCTACACATATGGAAGACAGAATCCTAAAACCATTGTTGAAAAGGAATGTAAAGATCATCTAGTTACAAGTCCTTTGCCAAGGGCAGGGACACCTTTCCCTAGACCAGGTTACTCAAAGTCCAGTCTGGCTTTGAATGCTTCCTGCGACTGGGCATCCACAGCTTCTCTGGGCAGCCTATACCAGTGTCCTCACAGCAAGAATTTCTTCCTAATATTAAAGAATGTGATATTATAAATTATAAATATGATATTACCCTCATATCATCACTCCATGCCCTTGTAAAAAGTACCTCACCATCCTTCATGTAAGTCCCTTTTGGCCACTAAAAGGCTGCTCTAAGGTCTCTCTGAAGCTTTTCTTCTCCACAATGAACAAAAGTCTCTCAGCCTGTCTTGACAGGACATGGACTACAGCCCTCTGATCATCTTGGCGGCCTCCTCCCCCAAGAGGAGGACATGGACTCCAACAGGTCCATGTCCTCGTCTGCTGGGGTCCTCAGAGCTGGATGCAGTACACCAGGTGGAGTCTCACCAGAATAGAGCAGAGGGGCAGAATCCTCCTTGTTCACCCAGCTGGCCATGCTGCTTTTGGATGCAGTCTGGGATACAATCAACTTTCTGGGCTGTGAGAACACATTGCTGGGTAATGTCCAGCCTCTCATCCACCAGCACCCCCAAGTCCTCCTCAGGGCTGCTCCCAATCCACCCTGTATTTGTATTTGGGATTGCCCCAAACCAAGTGCAGCACCTTGCACTTGGCCTTGTTGAACTTCATGAGGTTCACATGAGCCCGCCTCTCAAGCCTGGCAAGAATGGCATCCCTTCCTCCAGCACCTCATTCACACCACAGTGATTGGCACACATTGTTGGGGTGCACTCAATCCCACTGTCTATGTTACTGAAAAACATGTTAAACAGTGCTTGCTCCTGTACCGATCCCCAAGGACACCACTCGTCACTTGTCTGCTCTTGGACAATGAGCCATTCACCACCACCCTTTAAATTCGTTATTCACTGAGTAGTCCATTTGTCAAAATCATGTGTCTCCGGTTTAGAGACAAGCAGTGCGGCACAGCGTCAATCACTCTACACATGTGCAGGTAGATGATATCACTCACTTTTCCTTCATCTGCCACCACTGCAACCCCATCACAGGCAACCATCAAATTTGTCTGAAGCTGTACTGACTGTCACCAATCTTCTCCTTACCTTCCATGTTCCTTAGCATAATTTCCAGGAGGTTCTGTTCCATGATCCTGCCAGGCACTGAGGTAAGACTGACCAGCCTGTAGTACCCTGAGTCTTCCCAATTTCCCTTCCCAAAAATATATGGATGTTCTGTTTCACCTTTTCCAGTCTGTAGGAACTTCCATGGAGAACCGCTGCAACTTCGCAAATATGATGGCTAGTGGCTTAGCTACTTTCTTGCCCATTTCCCTCAGGGCCCATGGATGTATCTCATCAGATCTCATGGATCTTCTACAGAGGATGGTTCTTCATTCTCCCAACCCCTGCTTTCACCAACTTGGGCAGTGGCTGGAGCATTTGCCAGTGAAGGGAACAGGCTGGGCATCGGACAGTGGGCGCTGAGCCACTGTACTGTGCGTCCTTTTTTCCTCCCTCTTGTTCATTACTATGATTGTTTTTGTTATTTTTATTACTGTTGCTGTTTTAAATATTAAACTGTTCTTATATCAATCCATGAGTTTTACTTTTTTTTTTCTGATTCTCTTCCCCATTTCACTAGGCAGAAGGGAAGTGAGGAAGCAGTTGCATGATAATTGCTGGTTGGGTTTAAACCATGACAGATCATGATGACGGCAATTCAGGGAGTTCTAAAAAAATTAATTTTGGTGTTGTTTAGGTCTTCAGTTTGCACAACATAACTAAGTAATAGTATTGGTAAATTACAGTTAAAATACTTCATCCACTGGGCAAACCAAAAGAACAAGGAGTCCAGCATCACTGGCTGGAAATGATGAGCATTTCTGTCCAATTCTCCTAATGCAGTGATTCATCCTTTTAATTATCATGTAACAATTCAACCAACAATGTCAGTTCATTTGCTTTATTGTTCTAAATGCAAGTTTTACTTCATTGTAATAATACTACACCTTGTGGTACTATAAAGGTATTCAGTCATATCTGGGCATAGAAAAGAACTCAAAGTTGTGAAAATAATTTTCAACATACTTGAAACCTAGTGTATTCATGGAAACTGGTTCACTGTACTCCTCTAGTAACTGAATACAGTAAAAATAATGTAAAATCATGTCAATTTTTTACATAATTATTAGAAAAATATGTGGAGAGAAACACAATGAGAATCAGACTAAAACACTGGACTGACAGAGGTCTGGTTTTCCTAGGGAGAAAAGTAAAAAGCATTCTTAACTAGAGTGAATTGATTCAAGGTTACATTCTCCTAAAAGCATGGCAACTTGTAGATTTGAAATTAATTAGAACAAACCCAAGGCTTGTGTTGTTGAAGGACTTTGCCCAAATTGCCATTTTACCTCAAGTTAACTTGTTAACATAAACTTTTCTTTTGCTTGGAAATACAAAAGCAGTATAGTTTTTCATATTGAGAACACTCATTGGCTTTTTAGCAGCACACCAGCACTTCCTGTTTATACTTTCAATTCCATGCCAAATACCCTTATCTTCATAGCAATTTTAAAACAATCACCATTAACAAAAAGTTGCCTTTTTTGTTTGATGTTAAGACATGTGGAAAAAAAAAAAACCCAACTCTCTAAAGCAATCTAGGATTTTCACTATACTTGCCCAACTTGATTGACTCAAGCTTTTTGCAAGGTACAGATGGACATCATAAAATGCTGATGTCTAGTGTTGAACAAATGCATACTGGTACCTGAGCTACTCAAAGTAAACACTTTGTCACCAAACAAAGCAAATATCCAAATACACATGAAGTAGAACAGCTGACTAAACCAGATGTTGTTTCGCACTGTCACTTTGCAGAACAGATCCATAATTTAAACATTAACCTATTAACATGTGACAACCTGGCCTTGGAAGAACCTGGTAAAGTGCTATTCCAGGTGAAGTGAAAGTATTAACATTCAAACTCTCCTTTGACATATTACGACCATATAATGTTTCAAAAGCTTCTGTTGACTCATTTTATGACATCAAAACCAGCAACAGTAATAATCTTACTATCCACTCACAAAACAAAATGTTGTAATAAAGTAATAAAGAGAAGAAAACAAATAAATTAAAAAATACTTTCCCAAATTCTCTCAACCTCAGCTTAGTAAGTAATATTTAAAAATTTAATTATAGTCACAACCTGGAAGAGGTCTTGGACAATTAACATCGAAGTCCACTGAAAGTAACAGAAAACAGGTCCCTAAAAACTTAAACTGCTTTGAAAATGTTAAGCTACAATTTTATCTACAAGACTGTAAAAAAATGTAAGGTTGCTGACTCCCCCCACAGGAAACTCTGTTTTGAGCACAATAGAGGATGACATGGAAGCAAATGTTTGTACATAGAAGGCTGAACTGCAGTTTTTACTCCCAGCAGTCTCTCAAATAGTTCTACTACAAAGAAAGATTTTGAAACAGCCTTACCTTGTTTGGCACTGCTTTTTAAAAACACACCCATAATATTTAAACTTTCAACTGTCTTTCCTAACAACATGCACAGCTAAGCATATTGAGTGAACTACAGTCTGTTTTACACCCACACTGAGCAATCTCAGAAGCAAACTTTTATGAGCTCCAGCCTTCTTTCATGCAACAGAATTAATGGTTACAGGTCGTCTTGACCCAAGAAGTAAGGAACCAAACATACTCATGGCCACAGCTGATAGCTGTAGTTTCCTTTTGGGATGAATCATGACCTGGACATCTCACTACTGACTTAAAGTGAGTCAGTAAAGACAGGGTTTCATTGCACAACTTTAGGACACTACACAGGAAGGAAAACAAGAACTTGTCATTTCAAGCAAGAATAAAAGCACTTTTGGCCCAAAACAGACAGAGCATAGCTAGAAAGAACACACAAAATAAGGCTTCTACGTAAGAGTACTGTCTTTCATGTCTTAATGGAGTTACTATCTTATGGTGGCTTTGCCAATGACCCATGCTAGTTTCATAATAAAATTATTTCCTCAAATGTCTGCAATCAAATCAAACTTACAAAAAACCCCCGCATTTTAAA